GAGTTCTCTGTGCCAAGTTTGAGTCCATTTCATGGTTGCATGAGCTCAGAATGCTTTTGGATGGGAGGGAACTATACATCCCAACTCCCAAATGTCAGAAAAATAACCCCATAACTTTCCAGTAATTATTGCTGTTTATGGGAGTTCTGAATGCCAAGCTTGTTCAATTCCATTTTGTTGTTCAGAATGCTCTTTGATGGCAGAGGAACTATAAATCCCAACAAGTGGGAAATGTCAAGATCCATTTCCCCCAAACTCCACCAATGTTCAAATTTGGGCATTTTGAGTATTCATGCCAAGTTTGGTCCAGATCCATAGTCATTTGGGTTCACAGCGCTTTTCGGATGTAGGTAAACTACATCTCCCATAAATCACTGTCAATTCCTCCCAACCTCATCCAGTATTTTTTGTTTGTCATGGGAGTTCTCTGTGCCAAGTTTGGTCCAGGTCTATAATTGGTGGAGGTCTCAGTGGTCTGTGGAAGTCAGAGATCAATTGGTTGAAGGTACTACAAATCCCATCATTCATTGTCCATACTCACCCAAACATATTGTTTTTGTGATTAATCACTATGCTTTAATTAGGTTCAATTTGTAACAATGAAAATACATCCCACATATTAGATATTTACATTAGAATTCATAAGAGTAGCAAAATTATTTATGAAGTAGCAATGAAAATATGGTTGGGAGTCACCACAACATGAGGAACTTTATTTAGGGGTCATGGCATTAGAAAGGTTGAGAACCACTGGTCTAGGGGGTCCTGTTGTAGGGAGGTATTCTGCTGCCACATCTGATGTCAAGACAAGTGATGAGGAAAAGGTAAATGCTGTGTCACAGCTGGAGATCACCATGATGGCAGCCTATGTTGCTACTAAAAGTTTGCAACGTACTTTTCCAAAGTTTTGGAAAGGATCAGAGCTGTTTTGGTTGCACCTGACACAGTTAATTGATGGGATAATTGAGTGTATGTTATCTCATGTATATAGTAATTCACTGTGCGTTTGTACTTTGAGTATTGCATTCTCCGTGTTGGAGTTTTGTATTCTCCATGTTGGAGTGTTGTGTTCTCAGTGTTAGAGCACTGCGTTTGTATGCTTTGCTTGGGGCTCGGTTTGAGCTGAAAAACCTTTGTTTGTTTGATGCCGGGAGAAGTTACTGCAAGTGTCCAGAGCAAAGGCAGCAAGTCAAGGTCACTCTACAGACAACTGAGTAAGAGGGACTGTATATTGTTTTTGTTACACGTCTGCTTATCAACATGCAATGAAGAGGACTCACGGAGGATATTGTTTTATGTTATGTTTTTGGTGAGAGCAATTCTTCTGTTTTGTTTTGTATGCAGTGAATACAACTTTATTTCTTTTCTACTTAAAGCTGAAGACTCGTGTGTTTTTCTTTTATGAGTTACTTTATCACACATAAAGTTACAAGGGCTAAAGTCAGTTTGCAGGCTACTTAGGCTAAACGCTGACAGCCTAGTGAAGTCGAACTAGACTTTAGGGGGGTCAATTCCAAGGAGAGATGACCCTTAGTTCCCACCAAAGAGGGAACGCTACCTTGGCAAGCCTTCAGGGAAGCCTGATTCCAGCAATTTTATTGATATTAATAATTGAAATGAGACTCTTGCCAAGGCGAAGACGTGGCACCGAGGTTTATTAGCGATTCAGCTGAAGCGGATGCAATTGCAGTGTTCATTCACATGCAAGCATACCAATACATTGATCAGAAGCATATTTATAGCAAAATACAGGTTTGAAAGTTTCAAAACTCCCTCCCTCTTCGGCTCCTTAGCAAATCAGGGAGAGGGAGGCACGACGGAAGAGGGGCATTGTGTCCAGAGAGGATGATGACATTCTACTGTCCTGTGCCCGAGGGATCAGCCAGCCAAGGAAACCAGTTTTTTTGTTCTTGTGATAGATCAGTGATTTAGGGATAACCATTTGATTCAGGTTTTCCCTTCCAGGATCAGATAAGGTGTGTTGGTTTTGATGGGTTTTTGGATGAAACAAACAGAGCCGGGCAAGAAGACCCCTGGGGCCAGTCTCGCCCCTTTGTGATTAAATTAAAATGTGACCAGAGAAATTCCCTGTTTACCAGGCCAACTCAGAAAAATAAACAAAGAATTTCCAGTTGCTATTGTCCATGCAAATGTCTGTGATAAGGTTGGTTTCGAGGGAACAACAGCCCCCTCGGGCACTGAGTGGTTTTTCCTGGTCGCCTTTTTTGGGGCAAAGGGCAAGGGTAAAGGGGGCAAAAGATATTTCATAGCAAGATACATACATTCAAATCATAAGCATTTCATAGCAACAAAACCCCATCTTTGTCCCACATCCCAAGTATATTTAATAAGAGGATTAATTTTCATGAAGAAGCCTGAAGTCCAATGTTTTAAAAGGTCTTTGAGGAAAGTTCATGAGGGAGATAGTATGTACTGAAGTCCAAGACATGCAGGCAGAGAGTCCATGATCATTGGGAAGGCTGGAAGATGAAACACCAGCTGTGCTGCAACTGATTCACACTTTGGTCCTTGGGAAACTACAACTCTCATGAAGGGCAGAAGTCCCAAGATCCAGCCGTTTCCCAAAAGCCTCGTGGGGTCCTTGTTGTTGTCAGTGCCTTGGCAATGTAACCAAGACTTAACCCCTATTGTGCAGTCTGGTACCTTTGTCCTTTGCAGAACTATAAGTCACCATCCCTTGTTGGGGGGGGGGCATGCTCGACGTCACTAGTGGTGCCAAACCATACATGAAACCACCGCAATGGCTGAGATAATCTTTTTATATGTTTCTTTTGGACCTTATCCAGCATCCAGATCAGGCTTGAGAAAAGGGTCAGTTTAAATTAGAGCCATAGAAGTAAAATAGGAGGAAACGAGAAAAGGGGGGGGGGGTATTTTGAAAGCAGCTCAAAAAAGTGAAAGAACAGAGAGTTTATTAGAAGTGTCCCTCCCAAATGAAACAGTGGAGAATATGCAGTGGCATCTTAACTAAAGCAAATAAATTCACGGTGAAAGGGAACAAGCACCCAGCTCTCCATTTCTTGTTTACAGCCAATAATTTTCTTATCCTAAAGCAACTTGTTTGTGTCAAAGCTGCTTTAGCTGATGGACTGTTTCCTTGCCTCTGTCTTTCTAATGATATGCCCTTGCTTTTGTCTTTTTGAAGCTATATGAACTACTCCCATGGCTCATGAAGCATCTTCCAGGGCCTCACAAAAAGGCATCTCATGTCACCGAGATGCTGCTTTCATTAGCAAAGAAAGAAACACAGAAGCATAAGGAGCAAAAGTCCTTTCAGGAGCCACGGGATTTAATTGATTTCTACCTGCTTGAAATAGAGAAAGTAAGTATCTGCTTTGTGTCCAATTATATCAATTCCAAGAAATGCAATGGGACCTTGGTATCCTATCCATGGCCTCATCATGGCATAAGGGTTACAATGGTCAATCCGGCTAACACGGAGGGTCCTCTGGGTAGAACCGGCCCTTCATTTTCTTCTTTTTGATTGTTTTACTTTTCCTTTTTGTTTTTTCTTTCTTGTTTTTTTTCCTGGCTCCATACAACATTAATCTCTGTCTCAGTACTCCACATTTTTTTCACTGTTAATCAGAATGATGGCATTGGTGCCACATATAGGGAGAGATGATCCAATCTCAGGGCATCCTTTTTTATACCATCAAAATTAACAAAGTGCACCAAGAACACTAACAAAAAAAATGGATCTCAGGATTTGCACGTACAATTGCTGAGTGCCCAATACAATCTCACATGATGCCACAAGAATGTGAATGTATATTATCGTTGTTTTAAACTGCTTAATTTATGATGTTTTATACTTATTATCGATGTAAATGGATTGTTTTTAACATGATTTTAATATGTTGTAAGCTGCTTTGTGTTCCATGAGGGAGAAAAGCAGGATATAAATAAAGACTTATTTATATTATTATTAACACAGCTCCATCTACTAATGGAAGAAGGCATATAATTAAGTACATAATTGGACTGATTGAAACATAAAGGAAATATCCCTTGCAATGTGTATGGAACAATGGTACCAGCATATACATAAGGAGACAAATGGTCGACTCAGTATCTAGTGAAGTAGGTTTTATCATGGCCCCACAATTTCAAGCATTGTGTCATTGATGTACATCTGCTCACACCGTCTAGCTTCTTTGGAATTCTCAGTGTCCCCCAATGTCACAGGCTGTCTGTTCCAAGTATACACCAACCTTAGATGCCAACGAGTAGGAACATGCAGATTTCTACGACGTGTTGACGAGGAAAAACGAAATGCAAAGATACAGAATGGGGAACGCCTGGCTCAAGAGCAGTACATGTGAAAATGATCTTGGAGTCCTCGTGGACAGCAAATTAAACATGAACCAACAATGTCATGTGGCAGCCAAAAAAGCCAATGGGATTTTGGCCTGCATCAATAGGAGCATAGTGTCTAGATCTAGGGAAGTCATGCTCCCCATGCTCCATTCTGCTTTGGTCAGACCACACCTGGAATATTGTGTCCAATTCTGGGCACCACAATTCAAGAGAGATATTGACAAACTGGAATGTGTCCAGAGGAGGGCGACAAAAATGATCAAGGGTCTGGAGAACAAGCCCTATGAGGAGTGGCTTAAAGAGCTGGGCATGTTTTTAGCCTTAAGAAGAGAAGTCTGAGAGGAGACATGATAGCCATGTATAAATATGTGAGGGGAAGTCACAGGGATGAGGGAGCAAACTTGTTTTCTGTTTCCCTGGAGACTAGGACACGGAACAATGGCTTCAAACTACATGAAAGGAGATTCCATCTGAACATGAGGAAGAACTTCCTGACTGTGAGAGCTGTTCAGCAGTGGAACTCTCTGCCCCGAAGTGTGATGGAGGCTCCTTCTTTGGAGGCTTTTAAACAGAGGTTGGATGGCCATCTGTCGGGGGTGTGTTGAATGCAATATTCCTGCTTCTTGGCAGGGGGTTGGACTGGATGGCCCATGAGGTCTCTTCCAACTTTTTGATTCTATGATTCTATGCTGTAAAAGCCTGTTGAAGCCACTACAAGTTTTTGGTGAGTGATTTCAATGCATGTATGGGCCCTCAAAAATAAGGAGAAGTGTGCACAGGACCATTCAGTGACAAGCAGAGGAACAACTCTGGAGAACAACCTGCTAATTTCTGTGAAATCTTCCTTTTTGGCACAGCAAGAGCTGCTTCAAGAAGCCGCCAGCTTGAAGATGGCCGTGAGCCCAGATGGACTTCATGACCACGAACTTGATCACATTCTCTGCAATCATCATTACATAACAGATATAGCAGTAGTACCATCTTTCGTGACTGGAAGTGACTATGGGATGCTTTGATTGAAAGTTCATCTCAGCTCGAATAGCGTTAAGTTGGACGACTATTGAACAGAAAACCCCCACGACAACTACTAGATGCTGATGCAGCATCAACAGTAGTCGCTTTGACAGTTTTTCGCTCTTCGCGTTACATTGATGAGGACTATGAACACTTGTGGAAATGCTTGCTGGAATCAAACGAACAGCCACAACCCATGCCTCTTGCCATGTCACGAGAAGGTTGTCAGAAGAAACGAGATGTCTGTTAGATAAAGAAGTAACACCAGTAAATCCTCTCCTGGATTTCATGAATTATCCAGGACGTGCAGATAAGCAGTAGATCATGGAATCATAGAGTCAAAGAGTTGGAAGAGACCTCATGGGCCATCCAGTCCAACCCCATTCTGCCAAGAAGCAGGAATATTGCATTCAAATCACCCCTGACAGATGGCCATCCAGCCTCTGTTTAAAAGCTTCCAAAGAAGCCCCCCTCCCCCCGCACAATAAGCAGAAATTAAAAGCAGGACTGACTTTCAGCTGCATGTGCCCTTGAAGTGGATGTCACAAAGGAACAATCCCCAGTTAAGGGAAAGCCCAGACCAGACAGCAGACCTCTATAGACACATCTCCTGGATCAATGAGTCCCTTTGGGGAGATGGTGGCGGGATACAAGAATAAAGTTGTTGTTGTTGTTGTGATTATTATTATTATGAACACCCCAGTCCTTCCAAGAAACACCATCCAAATTCACACACTTACAAAACCTGTTTCACCAGTAGAATATAGTGCTACAGGAATAGGACCTAAATACTCTAAACACAACAGATCTCATCTGATCTTGGAAACTAAGCAGGGTTAGTCCTGGTTCCTACTTGTATGGAGCCCATGAATGACTACCAGGTGCTGCAGTCCATATTTCAGAGGACAAAATTGGCAAACCCACTTTTGAGTGTTCCTTGCCTTAAATCCTTCAAAATTCTTGGGGGTGCTATAAATCAATAGGAAATGTGAAGGTACATGCACGCACATAGAAAGACAGTCTTGAAGAGAAGCCTTGTAATCAATCATAAGTCATACTTCATATTTTATATTGTCACCATCAGAGGAAAAATGATCCTACCTCTACATATGATGAAGAGAACCTGGCTCAGATTATTCATGATTTTTTTGTTGCTGGAACCGAAACATCTGCAACGTCTTTGAAATGGGCAATCCTCCTTTTGGCAAACCATCCAGATATTCAAGGTAAGAGAGATCTGTGTGTATTGAGAACAACATCCTGCTGTGTCAGTAGTAACTTTTAAACAATGTGCTAAATCAATAATGACAATAATAATAATAATAATAATAATAATAATACAAATAATAATAATAATTAATAATAATAATCTTTATTTATATCCCACTCAATCTCCTGGAAGGGATTCAGGGTGGTTTACAACAAGAGTTGGCAAACATTCAATGCCAGGAAAAACATAACAAAACACATACAATCATACCATACTTATAAAACAACTCAAAAATAACAAATTAGAAATTTAAATATGCAAATAGAACAATTGGGACACATTTAGATGGATGGTATCCTTGAAGTGACTGGATTGACTTGAAGGAGCTGGGGGTGGCAACGGCAGACAGAGAGCTCTGGTGTCCATGAAGTCACAAAGAGTCAGAAGTGACAGAATGAATACACAACGGCAATAAAATATCAATTTCAATCAGCATAGGGCCCCCATAAGAACATCAAACTTTTGTGATGCTCCTTTTCTTGAGTGATAGTGCTTTCAGTCTGTTATTTGATCAGAAAAAAGGCTGAGTAGAATCTGTTGAGTCAACTACAAGGCAAAAAAGGAAATTCTGAAATGTTAGTATCCATAATAAAACTTGCATCCATTTCCATCTTTTTCCACAGATAAAGCCTATAAGGAAATAGAAGATGTGTTGTGCTCCTCTTCCTTCAGCTATCAAGATCTGAAGAAGCTCCCTTATACAAATGCTGTGCTTCACGAGATTCTGCGTTTAAAATATCCCCTCTTATTTGGGCTCCCAAGACAAACTTCTAAAGATGTGAAGATGAGAGGTTTTCTCATCCCTAAGGTACAGGATACAGATTTTGGGAGATGTAATCACATAGGACAAAGATAGCATGGAGTAGTGGTTTGAACATTGGATTAGGGGCACGTGTATGAACATCTATGCTAATCACTTAATGTTGACTGAAGATTTTGAAAGATTTACCCACATAGAACATTGGATTTGAGGTTCATCTACATAAGAGGTTCCAAACATTTAAGAGACCACGGACCACTGAGACAAAAAAAAGAAAAGATACATCATGGACTATCATTTTAATCAACTCCTCAGACTACCACTCAGACAAAATAGATTTTAAAAGTTTTAAAATAACTAGAATGTCTTGATCACATTAACATTCACATATACATTTTATTTTCTGATATAAAGACAAAACACCATAATGAGACCTAAAGAAAAAAATTATGTGATTTTAGAGTTTGCATTTATTTCAGTAGATAGGACATCATTGGATTGATACTATTGCTCAATGCCATGCGCGTGTCATGGTATTGAGTAATAGTAGACTAGGGGCTGTTCCAGAGAGGCCTTTATCCCAGAACCATCCATGTACGCTTTCTGAGGTGGGTGTCCAGATGCTCTCACAGAACTGGCCTGCGAGAACATCTGGAGGCCCTACCACCCTCCCCCAAAGCCCCCAAACCCCTTTGAAAAGTAAGGAAAACTTACCTGGCCTCCAGTAGACTGTAGCCGGAGCTCTCCCGGAGTGTAGAAATGATGTGCCAGGAGAGCAGGGAAGGGGAGATATTTTCCTCTCCCACCCCTCTCCTGGCGCATCAAGATGAGCCGCCGCATTTTGCACCAGCTTCAGTTTCAGATCACTGACAAAGGAAGGCCAATGTAGAGGGCGTTACAGTAGTCAAGCCTGAGGCTGACAGATGGGAGCTCACCCCATCTCACACATTCAGACCACTGACCTTCAGGTCAGCAGCTCAGCTGGCACAAGGGTTTAACCCATTGTGTCACYGYGGCTCCTACACGCTCAGGTAAACTCAATTAATCCAGACAAAACTGGGACTTCCCMGTTTTCTTCAGATTAATAAAACACTTGGAAAGATCCAGGGGCCAATCTCCACAACAATCCCAGTTCTTTGGACTCCTGGAGCACAAAGACCATTAGGGTGTTCCCCCCCCCCCCCAATAGTACTCCAGGTGTGCAAAAATGACTCATCAGGAAGTGGGGGGGGGGGGAGACGGATTTCTCTCTTTTTTGGATATCATTTTTACATGTTTGGAGAACTCTCTAGAGGGGTCTGCACTGCCTCCAGGCCCCTCGGGTAAATTTTYGATGGGAAATGAGGATGCCATCCCGGATAAACCTTTGGTTGACTGGAGATGGGATTTTGCCACTCTCTGAGGGAAAGCCAAGGATTTGGGTTGAGAGTGAGGACAGACAGCTGGGAGAAAATGGTTTTTAAAAAACCCAGTTCCTCCTTGTTTGGGGGCCTGTGTAGAAGTGCCTTGAATTTACCTATGTACTGAATTACTATTCAACAATTGAATGAATTATTTTAATGTAATTACATTTAACCAAGAAGAAGTTCTGCCAGGATTTGCACATTCTTGGATGGTGTGCTTAGATGGAACTGTTTGTCAATTGCTTTGGTGCATTACTTAATTCACTGGGATATCAGATGCAGCCACTTTGCATTATTTAGTGCACAGTGGAACATCAAGTGGGCATATTGGGAGATCACATACCTGGATCTTAGTTGGATTAAGATAAGCAATCAGACAGCCCATTCAATTCCCATGAAATCTTAATTTCTAAGAGAGATGTGTATGTGCCTGTTTGTCTGACATTTCTTTCTGGCTTTCAGGGGACTTCTATTGTGCCAAATGTACGCTCTGCTCTTCTTGATCCAAAGTACTGGGAGTCTCCTAAAGAGTTCAATCCAAAACATTTTTTGGACCAGGATGGACATTTTGTTGCTAAAGAAGCATTTCTGGCATTTGGTGCAGGTAAATATAGTTCAAAGCAGCTTGTGATTTATCAGTGTGCCTTCTGGGGAGTTTCCATGATAAGATCTGCTCCTTGTGAGGTCTGGAGCACATAGTCATCAAGGCAGCAAAACATTTGTTGCAATTATGGTGCAATTAAGAACCATAAACCAATACACAATGGGCTTTTTTCATGTCAAAAGCAACTTGAGAAACTGCAAGTCACTTCTGGTATGAAAACAGTGGCCGCCTACAAGGACATTGCCCAGGGGGTGCCCGGATGAGTTGATGCTTTACCATCCTTGCGGGAAGCTTCTCTCATGTCCCCGCATGGGGAGCTGGAGCTGACAGAGGGAGCTTATCTGTGCTCTCCCTGGATTCGAACCTCCGACCTGTCGGTCTTCAGTCTACCCAGCACAGAGGTTTAACCCATTGCGCCACTGGGGGCTCCATACATGATGGTGCAGTTATGGGAGATCAGGGATTTTCTGCCAATAAATCATACTAACATTCATGAGAGGGGAAAATGGAGAGAAAGGCCTGGTTGATCAAGAAAAAATTTGGTTCTAAAATCGATTTGTAATTGGGGTGTTTTTTTGTTTCGATATTTAAAATAATTACAAAATTTTCCTTTTAAAAAGTTTGATATTTACGAAATTTCGTAAATGGTAAAAAATTAACGAATCGATTTCCGAAACAATAACGAATCGATTTGTTAATGGCGGACGCGACCGCGAAATACGCTAAAAAACCTCCAAAACCTTCTGAAGCTTCCCTCTCCCTCTGTTGTTGACTGTTGGTGTGATATTATAATTTTTTTTCACTAATTAAACCATAAAACTGGCCCAGACATGCGGAAATAATAACGAAACGACCTCAAAACAATAACGAAACGAATACAATATCGAAATGCGAAGCATTTACAAAACGTTTTTGAAAATTCATTTTTTATATAATTGCTCCAGAATGGTTCGTTATCGTTTTGTAATTGAAAAAATTAACGAATTATTAACGAATTACGAATTAACGAAACGAAACCGCCCAGCCCTAAAAGACATGGATGATGGATGTGGGTATGGGTGAAAAGGTTATTCTACCATTTCACTTTGCTTTGTTTTTCTTTGGTGGTTCATAACATTATAAAAATGCTTTTAGGAAAAAATGTTTACCAGTGACGTGGCTGTATGTGTCCTTAGCTTCCACATTAGTTGCCATTCTCGCTTTTGTTCCTCACTATTTTCTTGCTACTAGGTAGTAATACTGAAAAGTCTCTGCTGCTTTCTTCTTAATTAAAACTGTTTCTTTGATTATTTTTTTTTAAAAAAATACACCTCTATCTTATTTATGCCTGGGAGAAAACATATCAAAGAGAGAGAAAGGATTGCAAGGGATACACAATGAAAGCACTCCTGAAAGATGCCCTTTCAACCTTTTTGTAATAATGGAAAGTTCACCAAACCTCAACGCATTCTATTCCAATTTAGTCTGCATTTTCAAACAACAAATTCTTTCCAATGCTTAGGCAGAATAGCTTCTCTTGTAAGTTGAATCTGATGGGTTACTTTAAGAAGATGGAATAGACTATGGCTTACCTATTCATAGTCCAATTTTCAGATCCATCCCTGTTTACTGCATGGAATAGATACTCACTTTCTATCTTTGTTTCCCCTGCAGGGGCTCGGGTGTGTTTCGGGGAGCATCTGGCAAGGATGGAGATCTTTATCTTCTTTGTCAACCTGCTGAGAGCCTTCCGTTTCCAGCTGCCTCCAGGAGTCAAAGAGCTCAATGAAGAGCCTGCAGTAGCACTGTCAACGCCACCCCATCCTTATAAAGTGTGTGCAGTCCCTCGCTGTAGTTCATAATAAAATATACAAGGGCATATACTTTATTGCTGTAATTTTAAACTAAATCCATGCTTCATTTCATTTCCTCATATTTCTTTCCTATGCTTAGGACTTGAAGCATACCTGTGATATAACTTAGTCATAAAGAGATTCTGTCTAATTCTGTTTTTGCTTTGTCCATGAACAGTTCAGTTTAAAGAATTCTTGCTATGTATGGATGTAGTGGTGCTAATGTAGCATAGTGTGTTGCAGGATGGTCTGCAACCTTTGGGAGATCTGTTTTCAAATCCTTTGCCATAGAAACCCCTGGGTGATCTTGGGAAACCATTAGGGGCAAACAAAGGTTTGGAGCTCCTCAGTTGTATTTGGTCTGAGGAACCAAAGGTGTGAATGTGTTTCAGATTCAGGTATGTTTGCGCTCTTGGTTCTTCTATTGCTTCTTCACTGGATGACTGGACTTTAAAAAGGTTTCTTTTATTGACTTGGCTTAGTTCTGAGGAGACTTGACAGACTGAGGCATACACCAGTTAAAAGTGAACTAGAAAAGGTTTATTAAACTTTAAGAGTATTTCGACTCATAGAATGAGCGGTACAGAAGCGTAGTTCAGTTGTAGAGACTTAGTTACTTAAACAAATAGTTCCACTGACAACAAAGCTTTTAAAACTGTGAGTTTCCTTAAACACACTGCTCTATCCTTAGAAACAGTATCACTTGGAGAACAGACTCCTATCTGTCTCACACACAGGGCAATAAGCTCTCTTATACTTTCCCTAAGTATAAGAAGACAGGTCTTTCTTTTACTGGTCCTCTCAACACAGTAAAACCCTAGCCCTTGTCTCAACCTTATTCCCTATCCTTAAGGCTCACTTAAAAGCTTTCTTTCCCTGTCAGATTCCTACTTAAGCTTCCTATCTTAAAATCCCATCCTTCTGTGTCTGATGTCAAGACACTTCTCTCCCTGTCAAAAGCTGACAGCCTTTTTCCCTCTCTCCACCGACTCCTCCCCTAATTGCTCCAACCAATCAGGAGTCGGCTTGACTCCTCCTCCTGCTTCTGCCTTGTCTTTCAAGATGACAACTACTCTCGTTCAGGCTTCGGCCTGGTCGCCTTAAAGGTAGATTTCACTACAGCAGGTGAAGAGGTTGCACCTAACTCCTTGTGCCTGGGAGGCATCTGGAACAAGTTCCAGGTGCTGCTGGAGGAAGAGTGATGACCTGGAACTATCCTACCCTGGACTTCCTTTAAAAAGCTCTTTCTTTTCTCTTGATTTGCACTGCAGACCTTGCCTGGAGTGTTGCCTCTTCCTCCCTCATGCTTTTCTGCTTTAGGTTTAATGCTTCCTTAAAGCTGTTTCTACTTTCTACTCTAGAGGAAAGATAACTAGTAGGGCTGGGCGGTTTCGTTTCGTTAATTCGTAATTCGTTAATAATTCATTAATTTTTTCAATTACAAAATGATAACGAACCATTCTGGAGCAATTATTAAAAAAAATGAATTTTCAAAAACGTTTTGTAAATGCTTCGTATTTCGATATTGTATTCGTTTCATTATTGTTTTGAGGTCGTTTCGTTATTATTTCCGCATGTCTGGGCCAGTTTTATGGTTTAATTAGTGAAAAAAAATTATAATATCACACCAACAGTCAACAACAGAGGGAGAGGGAAGCTTCAGAAGGTTTTGGAGGTTTTTTAGCGTATTTCGCGGTCGCGTCCGCCATTAACGAATCGATTCGTTATTGTTTCGGAAATCGATTCGTTAATTTTTTACCATTTACGAAATTTCGTAAATATCGAACTTTTTAAAAGGAAAATTTTGTAATTATTTTAAATATCGAAACAAAAAAAACCCCCAAATACAAATCGATTTTAGAAACCAATTTTTCCGTTGTTACCCAGGCCTAATAACTAGGTGGTAGTAGTTTTCTGAGAATGAGGCTGGGATAACTATTATTAATAATAAATATTACTTTTTAGAAGTATTTTCTGAAGGAGAGGAGGGGAGGAGAAAAAGAAGCTAAAGGGGAGGCTCTCCAAGCCCCCAAATGTGCATGCGCGCACCCCATCCACCTGTCCCACACATTCCCAACTCCCAGTCAGTCCCACTAAATAAAAATAATTAAGAAAATAAAGCAAAATCTAAAAGCTTTCAAGAGAGAGGCCAAGCCAAAAGCCAAGCCAAAAAATACACTGAAGCCAGGATGCAACTGTGAAGCCAAATAGGGGAGGAGGAGCCACGATTGGCTGCCATGTGGTCCTGTTATGGACGAGAAAATGTAATGGCTGGGCCCTTGCTGTTATGGCCATCTGGCCAAGCCAAACAAGACAGATTGGCTGAAGGGAACCAAACATTCCAAATCTATGCACAAGCCTACTGAGCACTGTGTTCTGGGAAATGTAATTTAGGGCAGGGTCTTTTGTATTCTTAGCTTCAGGGGGGCCTTGCCTCCCAAATTACATTTCTAAGAATGCTGTGTTCTCTCAGTCTTCCACCCAGCTCACCTAGTCCTGCCCCCAGTGCCTTTGCTTATGGCAATCAAACCAAAGAAAAACAGGATTTTTTTTGGTGAGATGTCCCACAAAGAGTTGATGCTCTGGGCCAGGCCTTTGGATTGGCAAACCTGTTGATAAATAAGAAATAATTTGAAAATAATCATGTCCTGATTTTTATTAATAAGATCTACAGATATCATTGTTATGCAATAAAAACAACAACAACAACAACTTTATTTTTGTACCCCACCTCCATCTCCCTGAAAGGACTTGGGGCGGCTTACATGGGGACAAGCCATAACAGACATAGATTAAAAACACAATGGAATAAAATAAAAAATTATAATAACATCAAACATCAACATAAAACAACCAATAGCTTGAAGCAGTGATAAATACTGAACTTGGGTGGTAGGAGCTTGTGCAATATAGTTTAAAGATAGGGGCTGGTGGAAAAATGCAAGAGCCAATAATAAATTAGGGCCAGAAGGTCAATGTCATTTAGAATGCCAGTTCTGTAGGGCAGGGGACCATGATAAAGTGTGGGAGCTAATTGTAAATTGTAGTTGGGGGTCAATTAATTACCAACCAATTAAGCTAATTGTAAATTGTAGTTGGGGCCAATTAATTACCAACTGGCTACGTGCTAGTAGACTGAAGGTGAACCCGGCGAAGACTGAGATTCTCTGGCATGGCCGCTCGATTGGTCTGATCCATTTGCTACCCACCTTCGATGGTGCTGCCCTATCTCCTTCGCCTACCGTTAAGAGCTTGGGTGTCGTTTTGGATTCGCAGCTGACAATGGAAGCTCAGGTCGCTGCTGCCAGCAAACAGGCCTTTTTCCATCTACGACAAGCAAGGCAATTGACACCCTACCTATCTGATGAGGCTCTGGCAACAGACATCCATGCCACGGTCACATCTAGCCTGGACTATTGCAACGCCCTGTATGTTGGTCTTCCAATGTCTACGACCCGAAAGCTCCGTATTGTTCAGAATGTGGCAGCTAGGCTACTCACAAGAACACCCATGAAATGCCATATAACACCAGTGTTGCGGCATTTGCATTGGCTTCCAACTGATTACCATGGTCTATATAAGATGCTAGTTCTGACCTTTAAAATTCTTTACAGCCAGGGTCCATCGTATCTTAGGGACTGTCTCTCATTCTCCCATCATCGGAGGTCGCAACGACCATCCATATACCGGGTCCTAGAGAAGTGCACTTGGAAAGTACCAGACGCAGAGCTTTTTCTATTTCTGCCCCTGCCTTGTGGAATTCCTTGCCGCCCTATATGAGAGCCATGCGTGAGTTAGGGCCTTTTACCCTAGCACTTAAGACCTGGTTTTTTACTAGAGCTTTTGATCTTTGTTAATCTTATCAATATCCGTATGTATGTATTTTTATCCTTTACAATTTTAGCTTGTAAATCGCCTGGAGTGTCTTGGATGGAGGGCGATTAATAAGTAATTAAATGATGATGATGATGATGATGATGATGATGATGATGAACCACAAAGGTAAGAGCTTGATACTCAAACAAACATGAACACACACCTACCCACAGCATTTTCACCTGTTTGGAAATTTAGATAAAAAAAATTTCTACAGGGAGTGTTTCCAAATCGGCGTGAAACAAGGGTAGGGAGCATTTAATCTGGTCTGCTTGTTCCCAGCTAAGAGGTAGATGAAATATCTGAACTCATTTCATGTGATTATAAGCTTGCGTGTTTAATTATAATAAGAAGTACATGATGTGATCATTACATTACCTCAGAACAATAAACGGTGTTACTGGACACATGTAGGTTATGTTTGTCAAAACACTTTGTGGTTGCACATTTGTTTCTAAGAGTAACATCCGAACCAAAGTATTTATTAGACGTATTATTTTCATTTATTGTTGTGTTTAAACCAATATAGGTGTTTTGCTCTGTCCTTCCTTATATATTTTTATGATGAGTAATGATACTAGGCCAAGAACCAGTGCAGGGTGGCAGAGCAAAAGATTCCTTCCAAGTAGAGGTCCATTTTGTCTTCCTTCTCCGCTCTGCTGGACTCGTCATACTCTGGTGCCCCATGACAAAGCTATGTAATGACTGCATTCAGCCAAGAAATGCCTGGCTGTGTCTCTTTATTTCAGGGATGTGTTGAGTGATTTCAGCTCCATTAAAATTATGGGTTTGGGGGCCCAGTGTGTCAAGCTCCCAAAGGAAATTTCTTGCTGTTTTGGCACTTTTCTTGTTTAATCATGCTGATGACTTTTGTAGTCTCTAGTTCAGGGACCATATAGGAACTGTGAAGGAATCATGTTGTTGTTGTTCATTCGTTCAGTCGTCTCCGACTCTTCGTGACCTCATGGACCAGCCCACGCCAGAGCTCCCTGTCGGCCGTTACCACCCCCAGCTCCCTCAAGGTCGGTCCAGTCACTTCAAGGATGCCATCCATCCATCTTGCCCTTGGTCGGCCCCTCTTCCTTTTGCCTTCCACTTTCCCCAGCATCATTGTCTTCTCATAGAATCATAGAATTATAGAGTTGGAAGAGACCTCATGGGCCATCCAGTCCAACCCCCTGCCAAGAAGCAGGAATATTACAAAGTACCCCTGTCAGATGGCCATCCAGCCCCTATTTAAAAACTTCCAAAGAAGGAACCTCCACCACACTCCGGGGCAGAGAGTTCTCAATATCCCAAAGGCACCAGATCCTGTTTGATCTTGGAAGCTAAGCATGGTTAGCCCTGGCTAGTTTTGGGAAGGGGAGACTGCCAATGAATTTGAGAGAAAGGAAGTGGCAAAACCACCTCTAGTACTCCTTGCCTAAAAAACTCTATGGAGCCAATGACGTTGCCACAACTGAACACACAGTGTGAAGGCACATACACAGAGAAACCGTTTACTCCCTGAGTTAAATGCAGAGAGGAGAGAAACTGACAAGAAGATGCACATGGTATTCCTATTGCATGAAGTCCTGCTTGAATGCCAGTTGGACTCTGTCATGTGTTAAGGCCCATAGTCTCATTAAACATGGGAGTTCTCATATTCATGCTTACTCAATTTGATTTTTTTTTCTGTACATATGTTGCACAAATTCGTCCTATGTTCAGGCTGCCTTTCTTCTAATTAGTATGAGCCACTCATGGCATATCATAATCAATTAAACATATTGCAAACTGCAATGGCTTGTTATGACAGATGCCCAAAGGTCATCAGAAGATGACTTGCTTGTTTTTTAAATATCATGTGTGTGTGTGTGTGTGTGTGTTATATATATAGTTAGTAGGAAAGAACATTGTACCAAGATCTTTCAACTTCTCCTATAGTTGGTTGGAAATCATCATAATAGAGAAAGAAGGCAAGAGAATGGAGGGGATCCAGATATTTTTGATTATTCTGCTTGTGATTCTTCTGATTGTCTACTTTCTGAAACAGCAGTGGTCACGCCGACATTTTCCACCTGGGCCTCTTGCGCTTCCTCTCATTGGAAGCATATGGAAATGTAACTTTGGAATTGGATATAATTTAGATACACCAATAAAGGTACTTTTTTCTAAATCAATAAGCAATAATATTAATTTGAATAAAATTTATGAAGAACATTGTGATTTTTTTTCAGTGGTGGTTGTGGACAAAAGCACTGAGTTATAAAAAATATATAGGAAAATGATTGATATTGATTGCAGTTGTTTTATATCTACAGCTACTGTTGCATTTTATTGATTTTAACCAATGGGGCTTTTATGATGTTAGGTTGTTGTCATTGCTTTTGTGTTATTGTTTATGAAGTTGTTGTATTTTGTGCGTTTGCACCATCGAGTGCTTTGTGAGTCACCCCGAGTCCCTCAGGAGTTGGTGAGATATAAAGTTTTATTTATTATGTATTATTTGATTTTAAAAATCCTGTTTTGTTATTGTAATAATATTCAAGTTTGTCTATCCCTTTTTGCTAACATGGAAATATTGCTTTCTCAAAATATAGCTTTTAGAATGTGGGCATGCCATGTTGTAGCTATAGCTCAAAAAATTACTTTTTGTAGGTCTGCCTTTTGTTCCAAGGATTTCCCCAGTAGTATAAACAGTGCATGAATGTACAATGAAAATAACTTTTTGTGCGAGCAATAAGACTTCCAGTGAAACAAAAACACATGGGTCAATTCTCTTTTTTTTTATTTCTTTCCATTTTTCTTCATAGTTATTTTTCAAAAGTTGGGATTTTTGCCATAATAGTTATTCCTAGATATTTTATTTTATTTGTGATTTTCAATCCTGTTATTTAAGTTCTTCTTGTCTCTTTGTAACATTCTTTGTCAAGATCACTGTTTTCTTCTTGTTGATTTGTAAGCCTGATAAATTACCAAATTCTTCAATTTTTAAAATCAATTTTTGTATATTTTCCAATGGTTCTTCTATCATACTTATGAAATCATCTGCAAATGCTCGTATTTTATATGATTATTTTCTAATCTTAGTGCCAATTAATTATTTGTCTTTTCTTATACTGTTTAGTAAAATTTCCAAAGTCATTATGAATAATAAGGGGGATAGAGGACATGCTTTTCTTGTTCCTTTCTTTGTTTTGAAGCTTTTTGCTACTTGGTTATTTATTACAATTTGGCCTCCTGCTGGTCATAAATTGCCTTTATTGCTTATTGGAGATATTTCATTCACAAATAATTGCTTATTGGAGATATCTCACTCACAAATAATTCTGCTCCTTTATCTCAGCCTGAGTTTTTAAATTATTTTATGTACATGCGGCCTGCTCACTGTCATTATGTTTGGTTTACTGCTTTTTAAAATATTGTTTATTGTATTCATATGTTTTGTACTTTATTGTGAAGTTGTTTATTGTATTGTAATTTGTATCTTATTTTATTGTAATTTGTTGTCTGGGCTTGGCCTCATGTAAGCCACCCTGAGTCCCCGTTGGGGGAGATGGTGGTGGGGTATAAATAAAGATGATGATGATGATGATGATGATGATTATCATTATTATTATTATAACTCTCAGAATCTTGTAGGCAGTAGAGACATTGTGTGTTATCTCTAAGTCCAAAATGTAACTTTTCCCAGTTCTGATTTTTGTTCCAAAGATTTCCCCAGTGGTACCAACAGTGCATAAATGTAAAAGGAACAGAGTACTTTTGTGCATGCAGTGAGATGTCTTCTCTTCCTCAGCTACATATAATCTTCAATGTTCAGTGTAACTGATGACATGAAAGGAACCAGGGTGAAAAAACTTCATTAACAAAAATTATTTCATAAACACCACATGTGATAAAATTAGGAATGTAGGTGAGGAGTAGGATGTAATCAAGAATAGAAGGGTACATTCCTTTCACTATCACTATTTGGCCTTGACTGTTCAACTTCGGCCTCTTTCTCTGCCTACACTGAAGCATCTTTGCCTTGTGAACCAACTATTCCAAAATCCTCAGGTTCACTCTGGCGAACTGTACTCTCTTGACCATCAACTCCATTCACAAACCCCTGAGAGTCAGCAGAAACTTGATCATTTAACTCAGACATTGGAACCTCTGCAGACAAGTGATCATTCTTCTTAGAAGCCTGAGGCAAAGAGACAATCACAAGCTGAGCCCCTACAACTGTACTCTTGATTATGGATGAATTATAACTTTCATCATTCTCTGCCACTTCCCTCAAACCACACCAACACTTAAAGTTGGTTGTGATGTATATGCGTGCCATGTTTGGTCCAGACAGAGAGACATGTTTTGACTTATATATATGGATGGCTTTTCATGGGCATCATACTACTTCTTCAGGTACACTTGTGAAGAAAATGACTTGATAAGGTTTCTAAAAATAACTTTGTCAATTTTAGGAAATGACCCAAAGCACATCTAATGACCACTCAATGGGGATTGGCAGAAAAGCACAACTGAGCTTTTGCTGAGGAAATTGTAGTACAATTTTAGTGTTGATAAAAAGAAACACTTTTCAAAAAGCCTGCCACAGATGCATTGCAAAAGAGTAGTGACGCTATGTGATCAACCCCAACTGAAGGCACTACGTTTATGATGTAAGTAGTCTGACAGAGATGGTTTCATGAGACTAAAGAGAATGGGAGAAGGCCAGTTTTCAACAAAATCTAAACAGAAATAGGGAGTGGGGGAGATACTATTTATTTATTTAGCAGATTTCTGTGCAGCCTTTCTCCAGGTGCACTTAAGGTGGCTCACATCATCTTAAAATATACATCATTTTTATGTATAAGAAAGCTATATATTAAATAAATATTATTTAACACACACACACACATATATATATATACATACATCATAACATAAAACCAGAACTAAAAACAAATAATAAAAGTTTCAAGAATGTTCCATAGCATCATCCATATTATAAACAACAAAGTTAAAATCAGTTTAAAATTCCCCAAATGATCATAAAGTGCTTAGTTAAAAGCTATTTCAAACAAGAAAGTCTTTGCACCTTTTCTGAATGACACCAGGGTAGGAGCTGATCTGACTTCTTCCAGCCAGGAACATCGGAAGTGATGGATCTGAATATGGTTACTATCACTATATTGTCCTGAAATCATTGCTTCATTTGATTGTACCTGTTCTTTTTCTTCTTGCATTGATCCAAACGGCAGCTGGCAGAACAACATGGAGACATTTTTACTTTGTGGATAGGACATATGCCAGTTGTGTTTTTGTCTGGATTCGAAGCTGTGAAAGAAGTGTTGATCGATCATTCGGAAGAATTCTCAGAGCGGCCACAGACTCCGCTTCTTGTAACTGTAGGAAAAGGAAAAGGTAAGTTGTGAAATGCTGTACTAGATCTTTCTCCAGAGAAACAATATGAGGACAAATGATCCTTTGGGGAAAGTTGTTGTAGGTTGGAAATTACACTCAGAAAGTCACTTGTGAAAATAGCAACTATATTGTGTCTTTCAGTGGTATAGCTTTTGAGCATTGAACTATGACTCTGGAGACCAGGGTTCACATCCCCATTCAGCCCCAGAAACTCATTGAGTTACCTTGAGATAGTCACAGGTCCCATGGATATTTTATAATGTAATGTTTTAATCAATGTTTAACTTGTGTTATTTTGTGATGTTATGTTCTGTTGGCATTGAATTGTTGCCAGTTGTAAGCTACCTTGAGTCCCCCTTCAAGGGTTGAAAAGGAGGGGTACAGATGTTTGAAATAATAATCATCATCATCATCATCATCATCATCATCATCATCATCTACACTGTTATATAATGCAATTTGAACTGCCTTATATGGTCAGTGTAGACTCATATAATGCAGATTTAACTGCATTAAACTGGATTATGAGGCTGCATTCTGAAACAGTCTTGGAACCCCAGAAGAAGGCAATGGCACTAAGCAGGAAATAAAGCAAAGATAAATCCATAGCACAGTCACAGCTAGGCCATACCATGCCACGTTGGTGTTGCATGCCATGTTATGTTGGTGTTGCAAACTGAGATAAGAAAATTTCTTCATGTTGAATATGAGATCTACACTTTACTTTGTACTTACAAATTTGTATGTAGACTTTTTAAGTCAGATGCGTGGCTGTAAAACACTTTCCCTTTGGAGGCTGAATGGGGAAACTTTAGTCTGGCTTTCCCCCACCTCATCCCACAGTGGGAAGCATCTTCTGCGGGAAGCATCTGGCTTCCCTTTGTTGACTCCAATTGAACATGGGGAGCCTCCCATGTTTTTACCACAGCGGCATGCACCGGATCCTCTATTGTTTTACAATGGAGTCCCATAAGAAGTAGTCATGGAATGGGAGTTGGCAGGTTCCATTGTAAAATGATATAGGAACCGCTTTACACCACTGTTTGATGAGGTCATGTGTCAGACCTTCCTGTCTGGGTACATAAATCTTAGAAAAAGAAATTCTAGGTTCCCCCAACCCCCCCCCCCAAAAAAAACAACAACAACAAAGCAACCTGCCTTTGCTCTCCAATCTCAAGAAACAGCTTGCCTTTATTTTCTCCCCCTGCTCCTCCACAGGCTCCATTGAGTTTGTAGGGGGAGAGGAGACAAGGGACATAGCTGCTGTAGGGGACTCTGGCCTCTGAGTTTCCCAGAAACAGGGGTCTGTGGTAAAAGATCCTGGAAGAAAATCCTCTGCCTTTATTATCTCTCTTTTCCTGGATGCTACTGGAGTTGGGAAGAGAGGAGCAAACTCCTTCCAGGCTATGAGAAAGAAGGAATTTAAAAAACACTGATTATTTTATTTTTAATTAAAATATGAGGGGTTGTTTTTGCATATTGTATGTCATTTGACTCTGCGAAGTACTTACTAAAAGTTGTCTTTTAACAAAATTCCAACATTACTAACCACTACCTATTATCGAAAGCTTTCTCAGCATCCCAAAAGATCAAAGCTATTTCTCAAATTATCTAGGACATCAAATATATCCAATACACATTCTGTATTATCTCATTACAGTTGTTTTGGGAAAAATATACATTGGTGAAGGTGATGGTCCATGGCTGCCTGTGTGTGGTGTGTGTGTGTGTAGTAATGTTTGGGTATTCTAGGGTGGTTAACCTTATTTGACCTGAATTTTGTAATAACTGATTATTTATTCCTTCCACCCTCAGGTATTGCATTTTCAAATGGACACACCTGGGAGCAGCAGAGGCGGTTTGGCCTAGTTACACTGCGGAAACTGGGAGTGGGGAAAAAAAGCATGGAGGGCCAAATAGAAGAGGAATCTCGACAGCTTGTAGAGGTTTTTGCACGTGAAAAAGGTAAGTCATATTAGGAGATTTTTTTTCATGTCAGGGGCAACTTGAAAAACTGCAAGTCACTTCTAGTGTGAGAGAATTGGCCGTCTGCAAGGACGTTGCCCAGGGGATGCTCGGATGTTTTGATATTTTACCATTCTTGTGGGATGCTTCTCTCATGTCCCCGCATGGGGAGCTGGAGCTGGCAGAGCGAGCTCATCCGCACTCTCTCCAGATTTGAACCTCTGACCTCTCAATCTTCAGTCCTGCTGGCATAAGGGTTTAATTCATTGCACCACCAGGGACTCCTATATTAGGAAATGATGCTACCATGTGTCAAAGAACAATAGAGTTTATGTGGTCTCTATTGTTCTTTGATGTAGAATTTGTCATATGTTTGTTGATTTCTAATATAAACATAAGTGAACAAAATCCCAATTGATCCTTCCTTCAATGGAAAATTTAATTCAGGGTATTAAGCGTTTGCCCGACATTAATAGAATTTGATTTACAGGGCAGCCATTTGATCCTGCATTGCCCATCATGAATTCAGTCTCCAATGTGATATGTGCCATGACTTTTGGATACCGGTTTCCCCTTGAAGATGAAACTTTCAAGAAACTGATTGATGCCATTACACATTGTTTAAAATTTACAGGAAGTCTCTTTTATTTCGTAAGTATTTTTTCTTTCATTTCCATTCAACCAGATAGATTTTTCCAACACTTCTAAGTAACTAGGAACATTTGAAATAACAATTACAATAGTGTTTTGAGTGTTGGATTTGGTCAAGGAAAAATCATAAGCTGCATTATCTAATCTAAGAATGACAAAACTACATTATTGACATGATATGAAGCAACGTTCACAAAGAAACCTAGAAATTAGAAACTGGTATGGACAATCCTAACCTTGTTGTTCAATTATATAATCTCATACAAATTCAGGATCTTGTATAGTTCTTCCATAACTGCCTTCCCGAGTCTTAGGACATACCTTGAACTGCTGTTTTCCTTACAAGGGAACCAGATGCACCAAGCTCACCTGGCCTTGACCCACACTACTTGAAGTCTCTGGATAATCCAGAAGATCTGGATTATCCAGTGGCTTTTGCACCAGCTAATCAACTGAACCACTTCCACTTTGAAAACAGATAAACTGAGATGGCATTTGCCTTGCCTCCCTTAACTGTCCTTAGCAGTGCTTGAAAGACACCAAAATGACACCTGACAATCCTCAGCACCTGGAATGGTGAAACCCAGCACAACAGGGAGATTGGAGAGGAAAGAGGACAGAGGGATTCCTCTGACACTGCTAAGGTCAATTAGAGAGGGGCAAGATTTGAGTAAACATGTTTTACCACCACTGACCTATGCAGCCAAGAAATTGTCTTACCATGAAGCAACTTGTGTGTGTTGAAGATGCTTTAGCTGATGGACTGAATTGTATTGCCTCTGCCCAATAATGATAGGCTTTTGCTTTTGTCTTTGTTGTAGCTATATGAAATGTTCCCGTGGCTCATGAAGCATCTTCCAGGGCCTCACAATGAGGCATTTCGTGCCATAGAGACGGTATTTTCATTAGCAAAGAAAGAAATAGATAAACATAAGGAGCAAAAGTCCTTTCAGGAGTCACGGGATTTCATTGATTTTTACCTGCTTGAAATAGAGAAAGTAAGTAGCTGCTTTGTATCCAATTATATCAATTCCAAGAAATGCAAAGGGACCTTGTTACAGGATTCCCGTGGATAACAAATCTGTGAATGTCCAAATTCCATTCTCTCTCTCTCTCTCTGTGTGTATATATATATAAAAATCAAGATCTGCTTTTTAGATGTTCTTTATTATTTTCAAGCTGTGGATGGCTGAATTCATGGATGCAGAATCTGTGGATATGGAGACCTGGCAAAGATGGTTGACTGCACAGTTCTCCTCTGATAAGCTCCTAGGGAAAGAACTCATCACCTGTTCTGAGATATCTTGGTCTAGTGGTGGCCTTCTTTCAGACAGGGAAGAAGAGGGGATATTTTTTTTGTTAAAGATCCAGTTTCTTCCTCTGATAGATTGCTAAGGCATTTGCTAGTGGTCCCTCTGGTGCTAGTGTTTCCTCTAGGGCTAGCTTTTAACTCAAGATGCTGTTCATAAGTGAAAGTGAAACCCGGGCCAAGTGATGCCTCTTAACACAAAACACTCTTAAGTTAGGATGCTCTTAAGTCGAGGCTCCACTGTATCACTTTGGTAAAGCCTTTTAAATCCCACCACTCAAGGTGGGAACCCTGACGATTCGACTTCTCGCTGTGAAGCTTTTGCTCAGTTCTTTACAGACAAAGTCGCTTTGATCCGTTCTGGTCTGGATACC